ACCAGGGAGGTAACAACCGCCGGGACCCTTGTTGCATTTGGATTAGAAGTTTCAGGACTACTCCTTGACCTACTGTTAGATGAACTAGGATCAGAAGGGGGAGAAATGCCTGACATCTTGACCCAAACTCGGCTGAACTTTTGCGCTCAACTGCAACGATGTGATCCAACGCGAGCTTTGCTCAGCGTCCCAAGCAAAAGTTTGCAGTGATGGGACAAAAGACCAATGCAGCACAATACTACCTCGACCAACAATGTCTTCGCAAGTTGGATATTAAGATAATAAAGTGTAATTGAAATTAATTCAAATTGGGTTGAAGTTCGGATGCAATACGGCTTCGCTAGCGGTAATGACCCTAGCTCTGACCGCAAAACAACACTGAACTAAAACAAAAAGGCAAAAGGCAATTGGACAAAGGACACTTGGCAAGCGACAAGGACAGACCGACGAACGTAGCGAGCAAGCTCAGCTACCTCGGCGTTGAAAGCCTATCGGATGCTGTAGAACCGCTGGACTTGTGCCAGGGTCTACCAAAGTGTGCGATCGTCCTGGCCCCCAAAGTTGGGGTAAAATTGATTGCTCGCAAGAGGAACTGGACGACGGGCGTGCAGGATATAGCTGATGCCCTCGTGTCGGATCCAGTCCTCTACCTCTGCAATCCAGCAGAGTTCCCTGTCGGAACGCCCCTCTGACCGGATGGTTTTAATGCCGAGTTGCTTGCACTCGTTTATAATGTCAGATCGGTCGTCGATGAGACAATGTGCTTGGAGTGCGGAGATGATAGATGATTTGCCCTGCCTTCCGCAAGGAAAGCGTGCCAGGTGCAATTCTCTAAACGGCAAACCTTCAGCGATCAATTGGCTAATCACGTGCTCAGCACCGGCTCGGGTGCTCTCAATCTTAGCTTGGCCGGCGTATGACACAATGTGGAACTCGATTTGATTACCAGCAATCCTAGTCAATGTCCGAAGCTTATCAACTAAATGGGAAGACAATTCACCAATGGGGTTGAGAGCTTGGTCAATGGTATCGTGCCAGTCGATACAAACAATTATGTTGGATGTATTAACGTGGACTACCTTAGAGACTAAGTTGGGTTGGTGCTGGTAATGTCGCGGCATAGAGCCAGCGACCCCCTCTGGCCGATCTGGTGTTGGATCAGGTAACGGCCGCCCACGGACGTGGGGTGCAAGGCCGGATCCTGAGCTTGGTGCCTCTTGCTGTTGCTGTTGTCCTTCGGGATCAAGTGATGGAGGATCTCGGGACGATTGGCCAGCAGGTCTTGCCCTCTCGATTCCTGGCGGAGGAGGTTTTACGGGCTTGAGATTAGCTGGATTAGGGGGAACAGGCCTATTAGGTCTTGGGGGAATTACCACAGGTGCAGCAGGTGCAGCAGGTGCCGCAGGTGCAATGTGCACAGGTGGATGTTTCCAAGGCAGATTCTTCTTTTTCTCTGGAGCTGGTGGTAAAGGTTCTGGCCTTTGGGGCGTGTCGGGGACAGCAGCCCCCTTTGCACGGATTGGCACAGGAACGGAACTAGCTCTTTTGCGAGACTTAGATGAAATCTTATTTGAAATTGGTACTTCCCTTCCCCTTGATGTTCTGGCAGCAACTGCGGGCGCAGTTTCGGCTGAGGGTGCTCTTGACCTGGATCGCGCAACGGGAGAGCCGGCTGGCTCTGATGCAGTTTCTGTCGCGACACGGGCTGTGTCAGCGACCCCAGTCCCAGCACTTTGCAAAGACTGCCTCCAGGGAGGATAAGCTGAACTACTAGAACTGCTTAATGGGGGAACAGTCAAAGATGGTACTGTAGGGGCTGCAGGTGGTGTTAGCGCAGCAGAAACTGGATCTTTTCTGGGCTGTGCCGGCTTATCACGTTGGATTTGAGAGGTTCTTATGTTAGGGCGTTGTCTCTTTGGTGGAGACTCAATTGGACGGGCAGGGGTGCGCTCAGCAAAGCCAGCGTCGAATGGTTCTTGCTGGCCGACAAATGCCTGACCTGATGAAACAAACCTGGCGGTTCGAGTCTCAGCTGTTTCAGAGCCCTCAGATTCGGTATCGGGGTTATTGGTGGAAATATTATAGACACTATTGGGGTCTAAATTACTTGAACCAAGAACAGTCCGATGGGATCTAAGTGCAGGATCACGCTACAACGAGTCGGGAAGCTCGTGTGGGTTGACCCCAAGCTCTGGTGCCTCGGCGTGAGGAACAATAAACGGCAAAGTCTGCGGCGCGTACGCGATCGGAGGATCAGCGACCCTAGCCCAGGTGCCAGCGGAGTCAATTCTAATTTCGGGGTAACCGTGCACTTGGGGTCTTAAAGCAAGAGGTCTTCTAGAAACACCGGTTTTGGCACGGGCTCTATAAAGCTCTTGACTAAGTTCGATTCGTTCACGGGTTTCCCTTGGGACTAGATTGACAGGCAATGGCGGATTGGACCTAGTTCTTTTAGGCCTACGACGGCGCGTGGAAATCTCACGGCCGTGTTCTGTTGTGGTAAAGTCAGGGAATTCAGGTTCTGCTTCAGCCTCAACCTCAACTTCAACTACCTGGTCCTCCTCAAAAACTTCCTCTTCCTCCTCTTCCTCCACCCACTGCTCCTCTTCAGGCGGTGGATCGTTGGGATCCCCTGGAGCAGTCTCTTCTCGCGCCTCTGCTGGTTGGGAACTGCGGGCAGCGAGCTCCTGTGCAGTTGGCGGCGGATGAGATGGTGGTGGTGGTAAGGGTGGTTGTTTATGAGCGGGCGGACTAGGGGGAATGTTATTAGGTGGAGGTGGCAAACTTTGAATTCTATCTGCAAGGGTTGTGGCACTAGAATCAGGAGCTTTAGGCCTAGCTTTAGCTGGTGGCTTAGCAGGGCTAGCAACTGGGACTGGTGCTACGTCGCGCCCAAAGGCAGCGACCCCTTGAGAATCTGACTTTGGTGCTTGTGGGACTGGATGGACAGAGACAGTAACCCTTGGACGCGGTGGCACTGCTGGCTCAGGTGGCCTTCTCAAAGAAGGTTGCCAGTTCGGCGGTGGGTGCCCAGGCTCTTTTGGTCCTTGCTGGACCGGAGTCGGAACTGTGCCTCCACTTGCCGCGCCAGCAACGGGTGTTGCGGCAGCAGGCCTCACCGCTTTCGGACGGGGTTGCTGCTGTGGGCCTATGTATCTATAATACCTATCCCACTCTTCTGGGCGCGGGTGCTCTGCCCCTAAGATACGTTGGTTAATGATCCTTTTTAGGGGTAGATCACCAGAGTTTATCACTTGTTCGGCGTGTGAAGTACCTCTGCGCCTGTCCAAACCGTGGATGTGAGCCCACTCTTTGTAAGGGATGAGGATCTGGTAGGCTAAAGCTAAACACTGTGATGTTGGGAACTCCTCAACAAGTCTTGAATGAAGAGCTATCAACCAGCGAGTGCTTTCGTCGGCTTGTTCGTATGGAATCTTTCTTAACCAAAAGCCACCTACGATATCCCCTCCGGAGTTATGGTAAAGCCAATTTTGGTATGCCTCGAAGTCGTTCCACCAAGCTCGCTTTGCTTCTTGCCACCTGGTTGTGGCACCGCCCCTGCTGGATCGAACCCTTGCTCGATGGGCTGTTGATGAACTAGCGGGGGAATGTCCTACTTGGATAGGATCGGCACCTGGGTTAACAAGATTAGGGCTAGTTGGTGGTGGGACTATTTGATCGGGGCAACTAGTGTTGGCTTCTGTCGCGACACCGGATGTGTCAGCGACCGCAGGCTCAGGCACGGATGCAGATGGTTCGGATGCAACGGATGCTTCTCCTACTGGACCCGCCTCGTCACCTAAGCCCAAAAGATCTGTTGTGTCAACTTCGCACTCGGTCTGTTCCAGAAGAGTTGAAGATTCTTGCTGAGGATCTACTTCTTCTTCTTTTGCTCGATCAATGTCCGTGAAAGCAGCTTCTGCTGGGTTACCCAAATCAGAAGGTGGTTCCAAAAATGACTGATCTTGAAGTGAAGTGTCAACCTCGATATCCTCTGTCGCGACGGGTTCGTCAACGACCTCTTCCGGCAAACCAATTGCTGAAATTACTGCACTGATGCTCTCGGCCTCGTGGATCTCCTCCTTAACCTCTACCAGTGATCGTTGTAGATCTGCAGAGTCTGTCACAATGGAGTCGAAACCAGATGGCGCGGGCGCTTGTACCTCAGACAGATCCGCCCAGGAGGTAGAGGCCTCAGCTATCGATCCGGCAGGCAACGGAGCTGGTTGCTCAACGTCTTCTGCAGCAGATGCGACCGCTTCAGCTCCACCCGCTGGAGTTTCAGTCGCGACGGAATCGTCAGCGACCTCACCGGATCCTTCTGAGGGCATGCAACAAAGAACAGTGAAGTGCGAAAAACAAAGTTAGGGCCTATGGCAAGTTTTACCGGATTAGGTTCCCCAACAAAAGCCTTACGGCTGATAACCAGTCAAACAGGGGGACGGAACAGAGACCCAAAAGGAGGAACCCCGATCCGGTAAACCCTGCATACGAAGACAAGCGCCTTTTCTAACCAGGCACTTGAGCCAAAGCATCAGTAGCGCAACCTACTACATACCCCGGTAGTTGTTGGGATACGGAGGTTACCTACTTCTAACTAAGGCTACAACATCTACCTAACGCTTCTAGGTGGAGTGTGCACTAAGGTTTCTACATTCGGGTGTAAATACTTAGAAACCAGTTTGGACTCATAGCTAAGGCATAACTACCTACACTGGACCTACTACCTATGCTATACATAGTGGGGCTCAGGGGTCGGTATATTTCAACTATAGTATATTATATTATATTACATCATATCATATCATATTATTTTATATTATATTACATTATATTATATTATATTATATATGTCTATTGTATTATATTGTATTATATTATATGATATTATATTATATTATATTATCAAGTTAAGTTCTAACATCTTGGAATCAGCAAATCTTAAGAGTCAATAATAATTCTGAGCCGTAGTCACCTCTCATCAGCTTATCTGGATCCGCCTTTTCAACTCCGATGTCCACTAGGGCAATCCTGCAGAACTCTCTCAGCCAAACGGAGGAACAGCTGTCCCAATACATCCACTTTCCATCGAATAAGTTTCAGGTCTCACAACACCACGTTTCTAGATATGGAAACGACAATCACTCATTGGTGGTTTCAACCCATCTCAAAAATAGGAGTCATTGGGGATCATGATCTCAAAATATTGCTAAACATAAAAATAATCGCAATCTCATCAAAGCCGCATCCTGAATGAGTTCCCTTAAGCCAAACTACTGCAGTGTGTCCTTTCGCGTACCTGCGTGACAATGCCTTGAAGTGCCTGAGGCTGAAGCTGATGACATCGACAACAATATTTGCAGGATCAAAACCGGATCATCCAAACCCTATGGGTTTTTGATGATTTTTGATGAACTACTAATATTATGTATATATATAATAATACTATTATCATCTATTATCTACTACTGCGAAGTTCATTCAAGAGACTGGAAGGAAGCCAATACAAAAAAGTCACTCAGCTGCCGCAGCCAGCCTGGCCAACTCGTAGCTCTGTCATCTTCGACGGGAGGTATCCAACAGATTCCTGCGGCAAGGCGAAAACTGTCATCGAAGTCATGAAACTGTGCACAGAGGCAGTTCACTCCCCGAATTCCAATGAATGATCATGATGTTTGCCATTAAAATTTTGGGGTTGAACATTCAATAGATCAAAGATTGATGATAGGAGGGGGAGGGGCCAATCACTGATCCAGTGTCGCCTCCTCTGCACCTCGGGCAGTTAGCACCTGGCTATCTTCTGAATCCATATTTGTGACAAATGCATAGACATGCATAGACAGATGCAGGAAGTTTCAACCTGGAACAAGTGGTTTTCTATTCTCGAGTCATGGGACCCAGCACGAGATATCACGAGATGTACATCAGTACCTGGCAGCCTGGAGGTGTCCTAAAATGTACCCCCACATCACATGAAATAAACCATCCAGCTATAGGGGATGGAAACCCCCGTTTTTCCGCGTCTGGTGGTTTGAAAATCCCAGGTTGAGGTGGACACCAGATTCACCAGATAGGCTGAAACCACCAAGCCTTTAAACTCACTAATTACGATTAATGTGCACATGTATGTGAATGTATGTTATATATATAATTATATATATATAACATTGTATAACATTGTATAAGATTGTATAACACTGTATAACATTGTATAACTGTATAATCTTAGATATGTATTGGTGATCTAAGCCACGTTTTCTTGTTAGCAAGATAGTTGCAAGCGCCTTGGGAGGTGCTCGGGGCGAGCCAGCCAGCGCAAAGGCAACTGCCTGTCGTGGTTCAGCCACAACCCATCTCCAGATGGGAAAATCCGAATGGAAACATCGATTAATGGGGATGGAATTGGGATTTCATGGGATTTCATGGGGATATTATGATTAATAATGGATTAATTATATGTAGATATTATATGATATTATAGTTATAGATAGTTATAGCCAATAGTTGATGGGGGTTTGATGGGATCAATCTGGCGGGTCATTGTTGGGTCATTTGGGGGATGAGGTCCTCATAGTTCATCCAGAAATATTGTTTCTTTGACAACATATACTAAAGTTTATAAACTAAAGCCAAAAATAATTTGGGAACATATAAAATCATATAAACACTGTTTAAAAAATAATGGGGATATTACCCCAACATCAGAATCACTTTTGGTGCATCAAATACCAATTAATAGAATAGAGCTCAAGTGATTTGATGGGCCTTCAGTTAGCTTCGATGTTAGGTGATATTCTGTGAGAGCATCCAAAAATTAAGAGGAATCAAGAGACTGCTTGATTGTTAGTAGCGTACAGAGTCTGCAAAAGATCGTCAATTCCCTAACTCTAGATCTACTTTGCTGCTTGACCCTGGGAATGTTCATTTATTTTTACCACACCTTTTTGAACAGTTTCTTCCCTCCCATCCAATGTACGAATGCGCGTCTCATTTGATCCGGTCCCATCGATTTGCACATATCGGGCTCAGTATCATAAGTTCTACCACAGTAGATGAAGCCTGTAGCAGCCATGCAGCTCCAGCCAATGCTACTAGGGCCAAGGTCCTCGGCTTCCCCAGAACCTGTGAAAACCCCATGGATATCCATGGAATTCCATGGATGTTTTTGGAAACAAGCACTTGGTAGGGTGAAAGAATCAGGTAAACCATGTCCCAAGCTCGCTGAGGCGCACGCGTCCGTCCCTTTCGGACATCGCCATAAGCCTTGGTTGATGATCCCAAGGCAAAGATTGGACTCCGATAGTGTTGAACACCTAGGTATGGCTAGCGAAATAAGGTACTAATGGTACTAATTGTCACTAATTGACCCACAAACTTGGTCATTTCGAGAGTTCTTGACCATTCCAAACTGGGGGTCTCTAGGTTTTGAGCCATAATTACCCACTTGCACATGCTGGAGGTGGCATCCCAGGCATCCGTGCGCGTGCCATGGCTTTTGCCATGAATTGGTGGCAACGAAGGGCCCGCTATGAAAATCAGTGGCAGCGGGACTACACGGTCAAGATCAGTGTGCCAAATGGTGCCAGCATGTGCCTGCTATGATCTTTCATGTGCAGGAAAGTGAGGACTCAGGCAAGTAGTCTTTGGTGACCCACAAGCTTTGACTGCGGTCACCAAGGCACCATCTATCAAAGGGTCACCAAGGGCTCACTGGAGACTTGCTTTTCTTGCAGCAACTGGTGGCTGGCTCGCGCGAAAATTGTGCCTGTATTCCTTTCCAATGCGGACGTCCAAGTGCCGCGTACTTCATAAATTGTCGTTGATAGCTTGTCGAATGTGGCAATGCTCAAGGTCCCATGTCCTTTCGCATCACTTACGAAAGGCAATAATGCTCAAAGGATACCAGTCATCGCTTTGTTATCTTTGTTGTGAATACCCTCAACATCTTGTGAATCTATGTGCTCGAAAGTCATCTTACGACTGTGGAAGATGCGGGAAGCAATGCTGCTGTTTTGTGCTGTCAGCACATCACCAAGGAATCTCGAGCCTTGGACAAAGGATGACAAAGGAACAAAACTCAGAAAAATCTGGGTCCCGGTGATGGCTGGTGGGTATCAGCAAAGGGTATGTATGATCAACAATGAAAAATAATGCAGTAAATGATAATCAAACTCAAACTATTATAATGTAAGAACAAGGCATAGAACAAAGCTGAGACGATCATGAGACAATCCGCAAACAAACAAGTAAAATCACGAATCAACCAAAGTCCTGGCTACCAATGAGTTATCGATCAAAGAAAATAAACGTCAAAACTTCCTACTACTGTAGCACAATCAAGTGTTGTAGTGGTCAGAGGTATGCAAGCAAGATCAGCGATCCGTAGGATTTTAGAGATTCTGTTCTGATAGATTCTGATAGTATTGAACCATCTGGGACCATCTGGGACCATCTGGGACCATCTGGGACCATCTGGGACCGCCAAGCCCATCTTCTGCGTTGAAGAATTTGCCAGTGGTGTCCATGTTCACTCGCTTCGCCTAAGCCATCTGCGTGAAACTGGAGATAGATTTCAAGCTGTTGAATCGTGTTGCATGTTTTTAGGGTTGTTAAATGTTGTTAATTCTTGGAAACATCCCATCGATTCATCTTGGACCTCTCAGCGTTTCCCGATCGTTTCCCGATCGTTTCCCGCCTCATGCAGGACTCGTTTTGCACCCACAGACGCATCCACTGCTCCCTGGCTCAGCCACCCCCGCGAAGCTTCACCAGTCTGTCTCCGGTTTCTTCGTCAGGTGCCCCAAGATCCAATGGTATTATCATCAGTGTCCCTATTAAAATATTTAAGAATTAATATTTTGGGGGTCATCCGTACCTCATGTTCAGGTCCAAAGTCACATGGGGCAACTTCAATCGACAATCTGCAATATCCGGCCTCAATATCCCAAATCTCCTCGAACTTGGAAGTCATTTCAGTCCGGTTGAAACCTGGAGTATTGGAAGAACCACTGCCCATGATTGCCCATGTGATGCACCTCTGACAGACTAGTAACTCACGTTCTGAATATGAGGATCGTCCCTCCAAATGTATAGTATGACCACAGGAATCGTCGACCTGCCTAAAATCAACAGAGCAAACAGGTTCTTGGGGCGTAGGATCAAAAAGCATCAAAAAAACACAGAATACCTGTACTAGCTGCGGCTATAGCTGCCTACAGCTGACTATAGCTGGCATCATTCTCATCTGCGTTGCATTGCGTTGCTATCATTCCCCACTGTGAATGAAAGAAAATCCGCACAAATGGATTGTTTCAACCTCATGAAAAGAATATGAAAAAATGGAATACTGCAATCATGATCCTATGGCGCAAGATGTCGGACTCTCTGTTCCGGCCAGTCTTTCTCTATGGACAAGTCACCGGGATGCACCAGAGTCACGGGGATGCCAGCCTCAGGCTTTCAAACTTCAAAGCCAGGGCATGAATCCGTGAATCCAGTGCACACTGCACCGACTTGTCTTGAACACTTCAGTATTACAGGATTCCCTGTTTCAGCATTTCCGCTTCAGTTTTCAACTGCCTCCTCCACTCTTGAAATATCAGTTGGGCAGTTTTGTGGCGAGAGGGGCAGGGAAGTCTGGTACAAGTGTGTTGTGTCCCAAGAATGGTGTGTTCCCCCTAACTATAATATGCTGACCCTCAGATTTCTTTCGGTTGGGTCTCCAATCACAGGATCCCCTTCTTCCTCGAGTCTAAAGAGTTCCTAGCTCCACCATCTTCCACCTTCCACAATTTTCCACCATTCTTCTGCTGTCAATAAACATTTTTTTACAAGAAACCAGGGTTATTACCACCAACTGGAGGTTCAACCCTAAAAAATTTCCCGCGGCAACCAATTCTGGGACACAGGGCCTCTTTGAGTTCTTCGGACATCAGTGCTGCTGCAATGTTACCTCAGCACAACCACTGTACATCTCAAGGCTTTGCCAGCCTGGCCAAAGGAGGATCTCTCTTGCAATACATTTGTATAAATATGATGTTCCTACATTTTGAAAAAAATATTTCATGTATAGTGTTATATATAATATGTAATATATATATATATAATAAATTCAAAAATATAATATATCTATACAATATATATATATAATAATATAACATGTGATACATATAATATATATATATATATATATTAAAGGGGAAAAATATGATATAACAAATATATTCTATACTATATAGTATAATATATATATATATATATGTAGATACACATATTATAATATATATATACATATAATATATATATATATATTGTGTGTGTGTTATATATATATCGACTATAATAGACATACATAATATGTGAATACCAAACAGAGTATATATAATCTATAATATCTAAATTATATGTAAATAATGTATGTATGTATGTATGTATGTATGTAAGAAATATTCAAAAATATAATATGAAAAGTTCTATTGAATATATATATATATTGTAATATGTTGTACATATACATTCTATAATTAATCTTATATTATATATAATACTAAATATAATTAATATCATATAATGTTTTATATATTACAGTATATATTAAATATATATATATATAATATTATAAAATATAATATGTAATCAATAAAATATTTAACTGTAATAGTTATCGTATGTATAATCATTAAATTATATATTATACAGGTATATGTAATATATGTAGTTATTTAAGTTTCTGTGCCACGATGTTCGCATAGCATCTATTTGTACGTTCAATGCTTCAAGGCAGGAAACCTGAGGCGAGTCGGAGGTTTTTTGGCGCCTGCGGGAGATACGGCCTGAGCGCCAAACATGCGGCTCTGCTCATGTGGTGGCCGTAGTCCCCACCTGAAAAAAATGGCTGATCCAGTGATGTCCACTGAGTTCTGAACCATGGGGCCATGGGTCAAAATTACCCTCTGGTAAACTAACATAACTATGGAAAATCACCATTTTTCATGGGAAAATCCACTATAAATGGCCATTTTCAATAGCTATGTTAAATTACCAGAGGGTACCCCAATAATTGGATGGTTGATACTAAACTAGACATTCACATCTGTGGTCCCCATATATAGATGGTCTTCCATTTTGACAAACACATCCCCATGTTCTGAAAAAGTCTTGGCTTCCAGGCCTTCACCCTTGTTCTGTGTAAAGCGCCACTCCACCGAGCCAGCTTGGCTGGTGATAATGACCACCTCAGGGAGGGGCTGGAAGATGACCATCCGTAATCCACACGGCCTTCCAAACGTTTCTTGTCCAACAAATGGGGATTGAACCCCCCCGGATTTATGGCCCTTGAACATAGGGGAAAACGATGGAATCAACCACCTGAATTTTTGAAAACCCTATGTTCATACAAACTCAAAGGAGAAACTGGGGTAAATAGCTGAAAGGAAGGGGTATGGCTAAGGTCAAGGTCTCTTGACCGACTTCCAACTTCTCACCGTGGTGACTAGTGATCATGAATCAGATTGCATGCCAGATTTCAACTGTGCTTCAAGAGTAGAATGAAATACAGTACCCTCTGGTAATCTAACATGTCAATGAAGAAATTCCCGATTAGTTCGCTGTTTTTTTCCACATATATAGATGCCCCTTTAGTTCGATGATTTCCCAGGCATGTTTGATGACACTGGCCTTGCCGCCTTTCAGTAGACCGCCTTTGTACAAAGCTGACGTCACCCTCAAGGGCCCCAGCCTTAGCGTTGAAGATGTTGATGCCCAACATGGCCCGCATGGCCGGAAGATAGAAAATTCTGAGGCCCGAACGCACAAATATCAATCTGCTTCAGTTGTTCTTTGTCGTTCAGCTCCTCCAGGGTCTCTTTGCCCCTGGGACCAAGTCGTTCCGTACTGCCATGGCATACCCTCTTCCCAATGCACCATAAAATCCATGCAGCAAGGCTGCAATACGAAACGATCAAGGTTGAGGATCCATCTAGTTACATATCACTCCCCCGTGTTCTTTCCAAATCAGAGGTTCACAGCAATCTGTTCAAGGACGTGGCAGAATCAATCAGGGTCTACCAAACCCATGATACTCGGTGGCCCTGAGATCCAGACTCCATGAAGTAACCAGCATTCTGAATCAGGAGGTCGATTGGGCCCTTGGCATGACCACAAGACACTGCAGCTATGATAATAATATCATCATATCAATGGTTACATATATATATATATATATTCAGTTGTATGTATATTTATATATACGTATATACTCGACGCATATGCATATGGCATATGCATATGCATATACATATACATATACATGTACATATACATATTCATGTACATATTCATTTTCATATACATATACATACATTTACATATATGTATAATATGTGTATATATATAATGTGTGTGTGATCGTAGTACTATAATGATTTTCATAGCAATAATACAATAGTCGTAATCATGATGATCATCATCATCCACAAGAACCACAGTGCCCAATGATTTGACCCATCGCACCATGAAAACCACCGACAGGGATGGGCCGGGGCCATGTCTGAGGTTCCCCTCTCCAAGATCCTTCACCAGTTTTTGCATGGTGGCATTGTCCTGCACGTCGATGCCACTAATCACCTACAGGAGCGGCAGGGATCGGATTCACATTGGCTGGGATAAATTCATCATTACATACGTACGCATGTGCATGTGTACACATGTATGTATCCATGTATCGGTGGATGGATGGATGGATGGATGGATGGACGGATGGATGCATGTATGCATGTATACATGGTCATGTATGATGATGCATGATCACCTATGATGATGTATCTGTATGATTATGTATGATTACATGCATGTAGATATGGAGGTATGGATGTGTGGATGTATGTATCATTATGTATCCATGTATACACAGTGCATTATCCTGAAGATAGACTATAATCCATGTATCGAATATTCTCCACACAGGTGCAGCAGCTGTTGCATGAGCCACCTACGTCATCCAGTTGGTATGAGTCGTGTTTATTCAAGTTATGCCAGCCAAATGACTTTCATATGGAAGTTTCCTAAAATAGGGGTACCCCCAAAAGTCATCCATTTTAATAGGATTTTCCATTGTAAACCATCCATTTTGGGTAATTACCCCCATTGATGGAAACCCCCAAATAACGGTTCTTCTGAGAGGCGCACCTTACAACCAAGGCCCTCCAAGCCACCAGGTGCACCGCGGCACGTGCCGATGGTTTCTGCCTTAGCGCGGCTACGATTGAAATCTCTGTTTTGAAGCAATTGCACTTGGGGTTGTCTCAAAATGGGAGACAATGGGGAAAATGATGGGTAAGTAGCTGAACCACCAAAAAACTGTTCAGATCCTCATCGACTATTGACTTCCCAACATATGAAACCGAAGCAGACCCCAAAGTTAAAATATCTCTCTTGCCTTGCTGGCTCATACCAAGGGCCGGTATTGGCCGAGGATGCCATCTTACTTGACAAGACAAGAGCTGTTCTATGGCATAACTATAAAAATTATATCTGGCAAAAGAGAAGGAAACAAACAAAAAAAAACAAAAAAAAGTGAAATGACCGAAAGCGACACAAGCCCAGCAAGAGCCTCTGGCTAGTTGCACTTGAAATGCCCAGTGAAATAGGTCAGAGCTAATTCAAACACCCTCTTGACAAGCTTGAGGAAAGTTCGTACATATAATTAAGTTAGGCGTTTCCAATCTGCTTCCATTCACAGCGGAGCTTCGTTCAGCTGATCTTAGCGTACTTCCAGGACGTCTGCGGAAGGGGAAAATGTGATAAACATCTTGAGACAGCCCGTTTCCTATGAATGGTTGGTCTTTTTGCGCAGGGTGTTGAGGGGGCACTTTGCACACCTAAATTCACCATCATCACCGTCCAACTCCTCTGGCTTGGCTCTGGACCCCTTGTGCCATCAATTCCTTTGTAATGGCAAGGCCCAAGCCTGCTTTCGCTCTTCCATTGGAAGCCACCGTTCGAACACCAAACTTTCAAACCGAAACCATCATGGCGATGTATACAGAACCACACTGTCACCTTCGGACCATGAAAGGATACCTCAGGCTCAAGTGAAGAATATGTAAAATTTACAGTCTGTCAAGGGTCTTCCAATGGATTGTTTCCCCGGAAAGGAATGGGTAAGTGAAAAATGTCATCTTCAGAGTTGATACTACGAGTCGCGCCATGCTCAGTATGGTGGGCAACACTGACGCAGTGAGCACTTTTGCGATGAATTATGTGGTGCCCCAATAATAAATCATCCCCAATGTTACCATAGTTGGGTGGTCTAAACCACCCCCACATGGTGAGTTTCTTTTTGCCATATCAATCCACATAAACTTGAAACCTTGGGTCATCTGAATTCCATCCACGTCTGCACCTCTGCTACCTCCAACCACCAACACGCGTTTGCCTCAGACCAAGTTCGTACCACTGGTACTAAGAGGGGAATGAGATAATATGTTTTACAATGTTTTACATTGATTTTTATAATTTATAGCATTTTGAAGGGCTGATATTTACGAACTCTTTGGGGGGTGAACCCCACATTTCACCGTGGTTTTTGACATCGACAGTCGATGCCTCTTTTCGACCTTTCCAATCTCAGTTCCTTGCCTTTCAGCCAGGAGCCGTCATAAACTGTGTCAATGTCCAAGTATCGCCTGGCACCCCGGCGGCCCTGGACCTCACGGATGGGGAGTCTATCCGAGATTTTTTAACGATTTGAAACGTGTCTCTTGATGACTAAACTTGCTCCAGCCAAGGAGTTCCAAGATCATTTGAGCATGTTTCTGACTCTGTTCTGTGTTCTGAGTGCACTTCTCAAATAGTAGCCGGCTCAAATCGGCTCAACAAATCATCTCACTCAATAGCATGCGGAATTCCAAGGGAAGACTGAAATGAGTTAGACGCGGTGGCAAATCAACTCTAAGATGCCCTAAGTGTGACTTTGTAATGCAAGAGTGCTGTCAAAAAGCCAAACCCCAAAGTGCTACCAAGTTACTGGTTCTTCTCATCTTTCGCCCTCTGGAAGCGAGCCACCTGCAATACCAGCAATGATGGGCATGATGGGCCCCATGTTTTCCCAATTTCCTGCAGGCATCCTTTGCGCATCTGGCCCCACCTGGTCTGCCAGACTGTATTTGCGATCCTTTGGACTTTCAGCTCGAGCCTTGGGGACCAAGGCTAAGCGTTTCTGGCTGGGCTGTCATGAGCCAAACACCAGTCTGAGACTCACAACTCATAACTTTGATAAGTGCATTTTTGAATCTGTGTATGTGAAATTATATGAATATGTTGTTTGTACTTTCTCGCTCAGCTTCATACAGGCGTTGCCGCTACTGTCGAAACACCCATAGCCTCAATCACAGCTGGGCACTTCAGGAGATCTTAAGCGGGACGAGGTTGGTGTCTCATCTGTGCATCACCAACCATGTTGGGTCAAGATCACATGAGTGTCACTTTTGTGAAACCACAATTTCTCTGTTGAAATCATCCCCGAAATATGCCCCAAAAAACCTTGGAGCAATTCCAGACATTTTCCCCAAAACCCTCGGGAATTCAACATATTGGACCTATATAGTCATGGGAAAAAACATGTTGGGAATCGAGGAGTCGGCTGTAAGCATGGCTGCTGCAAAGGTTGCCAAGCCATGAGAGGAGACCTGCCGAGATGATGTGGAATGTTTAAGGGACATCTTTTTTCATGGAGAAATTTAGCATGAAAGGATGTTGCAGGATGATATCCATGCCTTTTTCCTGTAGGAAACAGGATGCAGTACATCAAACGCAGACAGAAAGATCATAAAAAGTGATTGGATATTCAAAACACATATCCCGAAGCCATCTATGTATAGGTCAAATGATCAGCCCTGAAAGATTGATTATTCAGTCTTGAACATAAAAAAAAACTGCAGGTCCAATGGTACCTCCATGACTTGTCCCTTCTATTTGTTGGTTGATAGGGGATCCGGATAATACTATTGGATTAATTATATTAAGATTCCAATGAAACCACTTAGTTTAACAAGTATCACCCAGAAACTTCGTGAAAATTGCCAGTAAGTATATAACATCATCATAGAACCCATAATCGCCGTCAAAAAAAACGAAAAACCATCTTACCAAATTCTTCCCAATATGACCCCCCCCCCCCAACCACCAAAAGAAAAACATCATCTTCCCATGCCTCCAACCGTTGCCCGTCCCGGCCCGTCCGGCCCGCCCCATTCCCCAGCGCGCCCCAAGGGCGCTGAAGGCATCGGGCACCACTCTCCTGGTTGACGCCAAAGACTGGCCTCGCTGACCTGACGTTGCAAACACAAAAGCTGGGATTCTGGAAAATATGGCATATTATATCAATATTATCATATATTTATCATATATTTATCATATATATAACCCACAAAACATGCGCTTCAAAACGGCGAGCGGGGACAATTAGGAAGAATTTAAGGGGTTTTGAACCACAAGACTTATCGGAACATTGTGATCATGAAACCACAACAGATTGGGGTTTATCTTGATTTATATAATTATAACTTAACTTAACCATCAAACAGGTGCTTGGACATGTGCAAAAATGATCATATGTGGGGATGGTCAAAGCCAGGGTAGTCTAGTGACCATCAATTTGGCATCTTGAATTTTTGTCCCATCGCCAGTTAAAGATGGCACGGATGATGCGTGGGTTTGCTGGTTGGCAGGTGGTTGAAGAGCAAAAAAGCAAAAATCATTGATAGAAAGAAATCATGGTTCAAGATAGTTGGCCCCTGATAATATTGCTGTTTGTTGCTGTTTGTATAACCCGAAATCTGCTTGGTTCCTTGCGTCAACCGAAACTTAACAGTTGATCGCACCTGTCAGAGGCGTCTGAGCAGAGCCAGTAAAGCATCGCCTGAGGCCTAGAGGAAGAGGATGATCCCTGAGATCCACTTGGCTCAGTGAAGGAAAATGTATAGGCAACGATGGCATTTACCATTCAGAATATGTTCGAATAATATTCGAATAATGTAGGGGAGCCCGGGAGCCCTCTAGATTCATGTTCCAGTTCCTTTCACGACTGATTCTTGATAACCAATCCCAAAGGGCATTGAAGACAGAGCCTCCGCTCGTCAAGAAATTCTCCTATCCAAGAAACCGGCACAAAAAAAGAACAGTCTGTGTGTAAGATTGTGTAAGTCTGAGCTTGTCCGAAATTGGCGGATACCCCTAAAATCCGATGGTTTTGGCACCTCATGTTCACCACGAAAATTTTCCAAACATTCGGAGTTCAATCCCCCCAAGAACAAAAAAAAGGCAGCTGCCGCTTCCGAGCCCCTGACCAAAGCCTCTGACAGCCAGGGCTGTGACAGCCAATGCAACCTCTGTGGGGCCAAGAGGGGCCAGGTAGTCACTGGTGGCCAGGGGCCCCAAAAAGCGGAAGCTATTCTTCGAGGCCCTGGCACTTCGCCGCGACCTTAAGGCAGGCGACATAATATATGGTGTTGTAATGCGCGGTAGAATTCCGCATTGTTCAGAAACACCTTGGAAGAGGTAGAAGGTCAGTGCCCCGTGAGCCAATTGCGGTCAAATCCTTGAAATTGGTCCATCCTCTCATTGTGTGCATCCAGTTCAGGGATCTTCAACAGGGAAAAAAAACCATCCACTGGTTCATCATCATTTTTATCGTACAACTTTGTCTGAATATAGGGTAGATAATCCCAAATATAATTTTCCAAAACTAAAATGATCATATTTGTTCTTCATTTCTCTCCAATTTTCAGATCCACACCCAAATTTCACCCCTTGAAATCTTGAAATGGCTATATCCTAGGCGAAAAAAACACATCCTCCCCCCATTTTCAGATCACCAGCGGACGTCCATATCCGTTGGTCAGACCAAGGTACATGGTCCCAGCGCAGACCGCAAATGAGCCGCGACTTGAAAACTGTTTGAGCCGCGTGGCAGTGGGGGCAGTGAGGGCCACAAATTTGGGATTTAACATGATTTAACTACCAACAATGGTGGTATAATGGGATATAATGGGCATTTTTGATGAGAATGTAGAGAATGTATATATATATATATAATTGGGAAAACAATTATTATCCTCTCCAATCAAATATCAAATGGCTGGCTGGGAAATTCCTGAACTAAATGGACATGTTTCATCGGCCGGGAAAATCATGGGAAACTCATTCGTGGATGGAGTTTCCAGCCATGTGTGATTACCAGAGGGTACAGAAAAATAATGAAAAAGAACAGTTGGTCTAGGCCAACTGTAGGCCTACTGGAAAAACACTGACAGTTTTGATGCTGGTTTCATCCAGGCAGGTCTCATCTTTTCTTTTCACCAAGGCCGATGTCTTGGCCGTGGCTTCGGCTATGGGCTTTGTACATTCGTGGCATGATGCCTCGCCTTCATGCGAGCATCATAGCGGTCACAGCATATTGGAGGACGAGAAGACACTGTCTGTGAAAAATGATCTTCGACTCAACATCGAAAAAAAAAAACAAACGAACGCCAACCCAAAAACTATGAAGCGCAAACATCTACAATAAAATAAAAATGTTTATAGAATTTTATAGAGATCTGTACAGTAGCATTCTGTTCACGAAATGATGAAGTGAAGGCCTGAACTTCTTTGTTCCAACCTGCCTGCCTTCCACGACTTCCATGGCACTGGGCACTATGTCACTATGTGCTTTCAGTGGTTGTTGTCACCGTTGTGGTTACAACCTCAAAGCAATGCAAGACTGTGGACCTCTGTGGACCTGATGAAGGCTAGTGATTTCAAAAAATCACTGCTGTTTTGAATCCAAAGCTATTGATCCTTTCTGTCTCAGCTTGTAGAAGCTAAACAAGTGTTTGTCACATTTCGTCTTTTCATGGCCCACCCTCCCACCAAGTGCATTCTTTTTGGAAGGTTGGCCTTGAAACTCTGGTCGTGTTTGCGGCCTCTGTACATTCTAATTCCTGGGTTCTTTCAAACCCTTACTTTTGAAAAACTCTTCCAAAGGTAGGTCAGGCCACCTCCAGGAGCTTTGTCTCGAATGTCCTCTGACATGATCAGAGCTTCATTTCTTGCGCCCATTCTCTTGCTCAGGTGTTTCGTGATTGAAGGTGTGGGTGGGCGGGTGAAAAAGGGAAAAGACCTCCCAGAGAGTGTGGCTTGAGCCAAAATGGCAGTGCCACACTCACTGGGGGTTCCCACCCACCCTCCAATCACTCATGTGTCACACATGTTCGTCAGCAGTTTGCTTCTCAAACAAGTGTTTGTCACATTTCGTCTTTTCATGGCCCACCCTCCCACCAAGTGCATTCTTTTTGGAAGGTTGGCCTTGAAACTCTGGTCGTGTTTGCGGCCTCTGTACATTCTAATTCCTGGGTTCTTTCAAACCCTTACTTTTGAAAAACTCTTCCAAAGGTAGGTCAGGCCACCTCCAGGAGCTTTGTCTCGAATGTCCTCTGACATGATCAGAGCTTCATTTCTTGCGCCCATTCTCTTGCTCTCATGACTTTGTCGCGCTCTTCTCTTAGTTTGAAACATTTCTTGCATTTCTTTGCCATGAGGCTGGGCCTTTTTGTAAGCTCCACCTTGACGTTCTTTCTCGCGAAGTTCCATCCGCAAGCAGTTGTCCAGCTGTCAAGAGGGATGCCCCATGCTGCCTGTCCTACCAAGTGTTTGATGGATGTGCCCCTCGATTTCGAGACCGCATACACTTGTTCCTTCTCTTCATCGTGGACCAGAGGTTTGTGTTCCCTTTTCTTTTCGGGGGAATCTTCTTTCTTTGGCGACGCTCTCGCTTTGGGCTTGAGGGCTCTCCTTTGCTGTCGTTCTTGTTGAGCTTTCTGCTCTTCATCCAATTCCTTCGGCTCTCGGTTTGTGACGTTCATCGGCATCTCTGTCATCGCGTCTTCTATGTATCTGAATACAGCTGATGATTTCCACCTGCCCAAGAATTGGATGTGATGGATGCTTGTTCCCTCTCTGGCGTATGCCATTGCACCCGATCGTCTTGCGGAGTGACCAGTCGCTTTCTCGTCCACGTACTTTGTCCAGGCCGCCACCATGTGAATCTTTGACACTGCCTTCCCTTCTGCGTCAGGGAATAATGTACAATTGCCGTCTTTGGAATTTACCTCGTTCAAAGCTTTCACCGCTAATGCAAAGGGGCAGGCTCTGTTACAGGGGTCTTTTCCACAACACGCCAGTGTGCGCCACACTCCCGCGGCCTTTTGGTCAGTTTTCGACTTAGCTATGTATAGCTTGACATTCTTCGTCTTGAAGTCGATGTCGACATGCTTTGCCATCACTTGAGCTGCCTCAATGGCTCTCAGCATCCAGATGGCGGCCCAAGCGTATGACCAGGACGGCCGTTTTGGCTCTCCTTGCGCTTCCGTGGCTTCTTCCCATTTGTCGTCACTTATGTCTTGTACTCGTACTTCTTTGGCTCGTGTTTCTGGGCCCTTGTCTCTCTGCATGGCTCTTTTGCACGTGGTCATTTGGCGTTCTAGTCCAACTTCCCAGCCATGTCCGTCCTCAATGTGCATGGCTTTGGCTTCTGACAGATATTGATCTCCTGCTTTCATGCCTGTGGCATCCAAAATGGCTGCCAGGGTGGTGATCTTCTCCGGAGTGAGGGGGAGTTGGCCTTCTTCCATATTTTCCAAAATCTCCATGATCTTTTTGCGCTTCGTGTTCTTGGTGGCTAAGGTGGACTTCGAGTAGAACTTTTCGATGAAGCTCCTCTTTATCCTGCTGACCCACCCTCTGTTTTGCGTCATTTTTCCGACGTCCTTGATGGGGATCTTTTCCTCGCTTGGATTCTTCTGGGGGATCTTTTCCTCGCTCACAGCTTTTTGGGGCTGGCCGCTGCTATCATTGCGTTCAGGACTGATCTTCCGCTTCCCCCTGATGGGTTTGTTCTCATGTGCGCCTCTTGCATTCTTGACGACTCCGATTGCTTTCTCGCTGTCACTTCTGGGCCCCAAATTGAATTGCTCGATTGACTTGGTCCCCGTTCTGGTTCGGGAACTCGCATCTCTGTCAAACTGAGGTAGTTTTGGGGCCTTAGCTCGGTACGTGTAGGAGTCCCATGCTTTGGAGTTCCATGTTTGTGCACTTTCTGAGGCTCCTTCTGTGTTGTAGGTAGTTTCCAGCGGGGGACGAACACCTGTAATTCGATGAAGCAGTAGGCCTTGCATGCCATGCCGTAGATTTGGCCGCCCACCTTCATTCCTACCTGGCATAGCCGCGGCACACATGCTTGACAGAGCATTCCAGCCAGAAAAACGGTGCCCAGGATCAGCCATATCGCTAACGGAATGCTCGGTGGTCCTTCTCGTTCCGCCACTAATGGCTGCTGCACCGTTGCTACCTCCATGTTTGAGCCAGCTGAAAACACATGTCAAGCATCAGGAATTTTCAGTTTCATGAAAATCATGAGTGAATGAGTGAAACGACATGTACCTGCCTGAGAGTTCCGACCTACATGGTTGAATCAAATTCGACTGTTAAAGGTTAACTTTGGATGCTTGACCGACGTCCCTGATCAGCCTACTCTTTTGCCGGCTGGGAACGTCACAGCATGTCAAAGATCCCTTGAGGGTGTGGCAGGTTGGCTTTCCAAGGGCTGCCTTCCTCTCCAGGCGGTTTGGTGCCCATTCCTTTGTCTGCCAGCGCTGTCGTGCGTCGAATTTTGATGGTCTTGAGCACCTGTGGCACCTCTCCCCTCTGATGGGGTCGTGACAGCCAGTCAGCTTCTTTGTTGAGAGATCCCGGTATGTGTTGCGGGATCAGCTTCGGCACCTCCGCTTTCTCCAGTGCCAAAGCTAGCTCTGCTGCCAAATAGTTGAGGACCCTATTTGGACATTGCCAGCGCGACTGCACTGTCGGACCTGATGACCAGCGCCTTGCCTTGGAACTTCGGCGCCCACAGTTGAACTGCTCGCAGAATGGCCAAACCTTCGAGCACCGCTTGTCCCGATGCCTCTCCATATTCAATGTCCAGGGCTTCGGCATGATGTTTCTGCACCAGTGCCTCGTAGGCTTCGACTGGGAGCCATTCGCCCGCCACTTTGTTGATGAGCAGGCCCCCGATGCCTTTGGGGGAAGCATCCGTCACAACTCCCCACACGGCCTCATGTTCAATCAACCTCTCTTTGCGGATCAACATGATGTCCGATACCTCGAAGACCGCTTTGAGCCAGGGGATGACGGTGCCCAAACGCTTCACGGCCACTAGGCCCATTTTGGGTCGTTTGTCTCCTTGCCGCTTCTGTGCTCTCTGTCTCTCTGTTGGCTCCTCTTTGATCGCTGCGGTGAGGACGGCATAAACTGATGTCACCGTCCATCTCAGTCTCGGCACAATGCCAGCTACCCACGAAAGGCGTCCAGCGAAAGACCGCAGTTCCTTGATTTGAATCATCCCTTTGTCATCCCAGTTTGCCATGGTGGTCTTTATCTCTTCTATCATTTTGGGTGGTGTTCCAATCAGGATGTGATGAGAGGTCAGTTCCATGGTGGTACCAATCCACTGCACTCTGCGCCCCCTCTCACCTTTGTGGGTAGCTACCTGCACTCCGAAGGCCGCCAACAGGCACAAGACCTTTGATACCTGCAGGTTCCGTTCTTCTTCAGGGCCTCTGATGGTCAGCAGAACATCATCTATGTAGATCTGGACCTGACCCGCTGCTGGATGAAATGTGCTTTGCAGTAGCCTCCCAATGGCTGCACTCAACCTTCCCATAATCAAGGGAGCCCCCTTGAAGCCGAAGAGCATTGCGCACCAAACTATGCCCGTCCCATTCTCCAAGCCTGGGCTCACCGCATGTTTCAGTTCCGTTGGGTGCAGTCCAAAATGACAGAAAGCATCCTGCAGGTCGATGAGCACAAATTCGACCTCTGAGCTTGCAAACCTTGAGGACGTCTTCAGTGCTGATCTCTGCGACTCCACGCCCGGCAACTCTGTCTCTCTCCTGCGCATCACCCGCAGCTGATTGACCACGTCTTGGGGTCGTGGCAGCACTATTCGTTCTGTCACGGTTGCTCTGTCATTGCCTTGCGACCTTCTCATATCGATCACTATCCTTCTCTTTGTTGATCCGTCAGGCTTCTGTTTCACAATCAACGCCAGTCGGCTTGCTGTGCCTGTCGGGTACTTCTTGTGGATCTCCTCCAACGCGACCACCTTACAAAAGCCTTTCTTGACGTAGCGGTCGATTTCGATGGCCGCCTCTTGCTTCTGGGTCTCCACCGACTCGTAGTTCTTGAGGTTGGACAGGACGCGCATGTCTGTCCGCTCTTCCAGGACCTCGTCTGTCTCCACAGGCGGGAAGATGTTTGAGTCTGGGATGAGTTGATCCATCCCCAACGGGACCCCTTCCCTGGCCCACTGACCCAGGTATTGTTCTGGGTCTCTGGCCTTCATGCGCCATGCGTCCCACAGAAAGGAGTTCAGTGGGGACCTGAACTCAGTGTTGTCCTTCAGCGTGATGCCCTCTTGCTCGTTTACCTCCAGCAAATCTTCCAGCCTGGCAGTCCAGTTTCTGAGCACTTTGTCGTCGAACTTTGCCTCGCGTGATCCATAGTCCCTGGCTAGGTCTATGGCTTGTGGGAAGTCTGTCACAAAGCTTCTCCATGCTTTGTCTATCTGTTCTCCCACCTTCTGGACTTGGTGCAGTCGAGACACCGCCATCGCTGGGTTTCTCATGCCCCCAATCGCGAAGTCATTTTGCTCCTCCCTGGTTCTTTTCTTTGTGGGGCCCACTGAAGATGACGCCGTCACCTGCTCTTCTTCGGCATTTGCTTCTAATGCTTTTGATGGTACCTTTCTCTTCTTCTCCTGTGTGATGCTGTCTGCGATGACGGGCTTTGTCTCTTCATAGAGTCGCTTTCTCCTCTTGTCTTCGTTGTCAAGCCACTTCATCTGGAGCTCGTTTACCTCACTCGACTTGACACTCATTTGATATCTGAGCCACTCCAAGTTCAGGATCCTCTTCCACGTGTCCACCACCTTGATCGCCACTGCATCAGCTAGTTCTTCAGGATAAGCCCCTGCTGCTTCTGTGGCTGACTTCCCAATCAGCGGGACGTGTGTGACCCATTCAGGACATCGGCATACCTTTGCTAATGTGGCTAGTGATTCAAGCTTCCCTGCCCACTTGGCTGGCTTAAACCATCGCCTCCTCAGTTGCGACTGGTATGCACAAGTGTTGAACTCTGCCACCGAGGAGTTTGTCTCGTCCAGCACCTGCTTCAGTTCGGGCAAGTCCCAAGCTGACCCAGTGTTAATGGCACCTGGAGGGCTTTCCATGGTCGAAGCTTCTGGCAACGCCCTCCTCCTGAAGCTTTCGATTTGTTTCCTGTGCAACCATGCCGACCTCGTTGCCATCAATGTTCCTTCATCGGCCTCACGTTGTTGCTGCACCGTGTTGCCAGGAAGTCCATAAATATGGGCTGCACTCCTAACTGGACCTGGTCCGTGATCTGTGTCTCGCCACCGGACCCTCGAAAAGGATCCACAGGGAAACCCACTGTGGTAACCATCCCAATCTCCTTCTTCCACCGACTTGTCGATCTCGTCGTAAGTTGCCGGTGCGGCCAAGTTGATCTCCTTGTCCTTCTTCCGGTCCAA